CTATATTTACTAGTAATTATTGGAAACAGTGCAACGATAATCAATATGTAACGGATATCGATAGAATGCATCATAACAAACTGGTCAAAGTGTTCTTGGATTTTTAACCCAAGAGACTTAAATATAGGTAAAATTTTCAAACGTTACCTTTCTTAAAAATATATCGTTTTTTTTATTATAATTTTTTTTAACTTTATTAAATTGCGAAAACATTAATAGATTCATATTCCTCGATGTTTTCAACACCGATTAAAAAATTACAATAATGTAATATTTTGGTCGATAAGAGCCAGTTATAGAATTTTAGTTTGCGTGAATAATTTTTCATTTCGAGAGAATAATAATGGCCGCGTTCAGTAGAACAAGTGATCAGTAAGCGCTCAGTGAGCTCTTGCATCTGATTGGAGTATAGTTGGAGATCTAAAAGAATATGCCAAATCATATACAAGAGCTCCCTGAGCGCTTACTGATCACTTGTTCTACTGAACACGGCCAATGTCTTGCACTATATCGCGAAGATTTTCCCTGTTCTTAAGTACGTTGGGCAATTTTAACATCGTTTGCATTCAGTTTTCTAAATTTTAATAAATAATTCCTCTCTCTCCCATTATTATATGACATTAAGCGTCTTTTTTGTCCTAATATTAATGTTGCCTCAGCCAAGAGTCTAATCTAAACATTCCCACTTATAGGGCGGAACCTCTTGGCTAAAATATTATTTTAATGTAGTCAAACACTTTCACAACCATATTTATAAAGGTTTATCGGTTAAAAGAGATATTGAATTCTAATCATTTGTACGGAAGTTATAAGCAAATAGAAATACACTGAATAAAATTTACCGATATTTAGTGTTTATATAATACTTGTTACTTTTGATTTTACACAATTTTAATGAGGTTAATATTATTACTGGTTAATATTATACAGGTCCAAACAATACGTTGGAATATAAAATAGATTGAAATAAAAAATGAAACTTTTAAAATAATTTTTTTTTAATTAAACAATATGATTTAAGTCAACGAAATAAAATTGAAAGGGTAACCAAATACTGTATTATTTGAGAAAATAAAATCAAATTTTATTTTCTTTAAACAATAATCTTTTTTTTATCAAATGATATAATTTAACCTAATAAAACAAATGATGCTTGATGTAAAATTATGTTGTTCAAGTACAACAATTTCAAATCAAACGAATAAGAATACTAAACGCCAAGAAACTGTTTCTTGCGTATATATGTGTAATTTATCGCAAATGTATGTGTTATATAAACAGGATTATTCTGTTCCCGGTTTGTCCTTGAATATGTTTAATAAATTCAAAATAAATGATTTCATACTCACGTTCATTAAAATTCTGTTGCGTATGTCTCGACAAGTTTAATACATTTCTTCTAACACCTTTCTTCTAGACTACGTTGCAATATCACAATATATTAATTAATTAATTAACGTAACGTTCAAATTTCAACTTAATTTAATATAACGTATCTATCTATTGTCGATATGTCGCGCCGGTATTCACGTCTTTTGTTCCAGTGTCAGGGCGATCGTTAATTGAGAATATGGATAGCACGATGAGAGAACTCGATAACACAGCGATGCGCCATACGTAATATGTATGCCGATGTAATCAGCGCCTATCGCTAATGAATTAATTGGGTTATCGACGAAGACGAGGGAGAGGGATACCTGAAGGGTATCCCTGGTGTGTTTGTGTGTATGTGTGTGTGAGAGAGAGAGAGAGAGAGAGAGCTCGCACCACTCGTCGCCGGAATATCGAAGGATCGATGTAGCGGTCGAATTAGGTCACGATTTGGAGAAGTATCCCTTATAGATCGCAATAAACTTTGTTTGTCGCTTCAGGATCGCCCCTCGTCGACTTTAAATGATTGATTATCCTCGTGATTTTAGTGCACTTGTATTTATTTCCTGCTTTCTAAAATACAATCAACTTCACCGAAATACTATACTTACAACTTGTGGTTTAATTATAAGTATAGCATTATGGCCAGTAAAATATCGCTGATCGGATCAATTAGTAGCGATTGTCCGTATTATTTATTTATTTTACGGACACAGACAGTGTCGTTGTATGCAATGGAAGTCGTTAATTCCGTCGTCACAAACGCAGAAACATGGATTTGGTGTAATGTATAACAAATTTTGCAGTGATACTTTCACTGATCAAAATTAGTCAGAAATAAGTTGAGACAGTAAAGTGAGATTTTTATTGAAAATCAATGAATATTTACTGATATTATCGGTGAATTATTCCTTTTACTGATTTAATTAGAAACATCTTTACTGATTCACACTTTGAGAGAACACAAAGCTACCGTAAGATTCTATGCGTGATTGCGTTTGTAGGATCCAAATGTATATAGTGACATTAATCTTAGATTTATTACTTTTGTTACTTGATGCACATATAGTTTACAAATACAAATAATTTTAACGTTCGACTCTCTAATCGACTACAACGTTATTCAAAATTTAGATTCTACATTAAGCCTGCAAAGATCGTCGAACTTGTAGGCCAGTGAATAATTTCGAAATATAAATATCGAAATATACGTGGGATATTATATGGCCCAATATAGAGATAGTAAGAATTTAGTCAAGCCTTTATTATTATTTTATTTCAGAGTCATCCTTTATTAAGTTAAATATGACAACATACAGTGATCTGTCAATTAATGTTTGTTTAACAGTGTGCCAAAGTGAAGTTTTGAAGATGAGTTCTGTGTTTGATCACACTAGCAAAAATTAAATTAAATATTTTCATTGATTTTCGTACCTATTATCCTGATTTCGTCGCAATCTGAAGTACATTTTGCATCGATTTATAACCATCGATGAAATCTAGGTCTTTACTCCGAAAACAAGGGAATAGTTAAAATAATAAACGTACAGAGACACTCGCAGAGACGCTCACTTTCACTGTCCAACAAAGACTAATCAATAGTTCATTCTATATTGTCATACGTCTCCTAATAAAAGATTGCTTTTTTTATGTCTAATAATATTCCTTTGTGCACGAGTTTGGTCGTATTTACATTATTGAATTATCCAAGCTAATTACCAAATTACATCTACCAATGTCTTTCTATTTGGACTGTTTCTTGTTATACCGGAATTAATCTCTATTAGTAAACAATATTATTAAACACATAATTGTTATATTTGTCTTTATAGCTTCATATATTCTCATTTAAATAAAGATAATAAAGATTTGACGAAATTCGCGCTATTAGGTCATGTACTTTTTGAATCACTCACGTAGTGTTTATATAGACTATTGTGTTCCTTCGATGTGTGCTACAAATCGTCACTTGTTGCCGTTTTCTTTGTGTGAAGACTTACAAAAGAACTCGCTGAGTGTATTTACCCGAATCGAAATTCTGATTCTACATTGATCCTAAACAAATTATCCTATCCAATATAATCCTATACAAATCGAATTGTCAATAAAGACTCTCAAGATATACAAGCTATTGACCCACCTTGATGTTATAAATAGTTGCTCGTTGCCGTTTGTTCCATATTGAAGAAGATCGGAAATGTTAACTCTGGCAGTAACATACTTATTTCACATACTGGACGTATATTATAAAAAAAAATTGATTAAATCACTTATCATAAATTGTAATCATTGTTATTTTTGTTTTACAATACTTTTAACGTAATTTTCATGTATAAATTTTGCATTCTATGCAAAATTTAGAAAAAGTCCTGGAAATAAAGTTAGAATAAAATGTATACATTCGGAAGACATTTGGTTGTTGTGTCATAGCAGAATTAAAGAAATTCGAAAAAACACTCGTTCAAGAATTATTTAATATTCAATTATCTCAACATATTCTAATAGAATTTAATCCCAGTGTGCGTGCGCGTGAATAGAATCAGATACGATAATTGATAATGAGTGAAATATGGCGTTATCATATATGAGTGATATATGGCGTTAGCAAATTAATTGGCAAATATACGCATACGATTGGCAATTGACGAAAGTAGTTGTATTCAAACAAATATATATAGATAATCTGATGTTAAATTATTTAATAAGAATTAGAGTGCGTAAATGCGAAAAACAACACATCTTAATCTCTATAATATTTTCCTAATTATTCTTTCTCCCTCTTCTTTTTCTTTTAAAAGTTTCGATGAGATTTGTAGCTTTTAAAATGAGAATATATGAAGCTATAAAGACAAATATAACAATTATGTGTTTAATAATATTGTTTACTAATAGAGATTAATTCCGGTATAACAAGAAACAGTCCAAACAGAAAGACATTGGTAGATGTAATTTGGTAATTAGCTTGGATAATTCAATAATGTAAATACGACCAAACTCGTGCACAAAGGAATATTATTAGACATAAAAAAAGCAATTATGAGATTTAAATTATATTCTAAAGCCGACATTCAAAGTTGTGAATTATTAAGCTCTTTGATTGAGAATATAATTAATTTCAGATTCGTATCATGGACCTATTTGGATACAAAGTTATAAACAGTTGCCTTAGTTAATCTGTATTTAGCAGCTATTTAACGCGATCAATTTTTATAAATTTTGAAATAATTGAGAAAAACAAGTTCCATATATTTAATAAACATTACTTTTTAAACAGTAAAACGATCGCGGAAATTAAAGTCAAGTTTGACAAACATTATAGTGAGTCCTTTTCCATCACGATATCGCATCAATACACATTTATGCAACTGCGATAGCAAAATTGTTGGAATTATATCACGAAATTGTTCTTCATATCTCCTACTCTCCAGACTTGGCACCCCACGGACTATTTTTTGTTCCCGGATATGAAAAAATGATTTGCAGAAAAAAAATTTGAATCGAATGACGAAATGATTGATGAAGCAAACGCTTATTTTGCAAAGTTGGATAAGTCACACTATATGGATAGTATCAAAAAATTAGAAAATCATTGGACTAAATATATAGAGATGACTATATTGAGAAATAAAGTTGACTTTTAAAAAAAAAATATCTTTATTTTCGCACAGACTTATTGAACAGCTTTCGCACATTGGAACCTACTGGAAACAGACTATCTGAGTATATATAAGATATTATACAGGTCATTACTTGGTGAAACCCATGTGAAGTGCTGAGCGGACCAATGTGCTGGTGAAAGCAAATAAAAAATGTTGAACTTTCAATTAGTCGCTATGAGATAAGAAAAAAACACGAAATAGTCGCATGCTGACAAGCAAATCTTAATCGCTTCTCTGGACGGTTTTTACTAGTCCTGGTAATGGCCAATTATGACAACCAAACAATTGTGGTTGTAAAAATAAAATCTATAAACTTAATTATTACATAAAGTTTTAGTCCATAGACCCTGATTTACTAATAAGAACCGTCTAGAGTTGCTTGGCTGTACATCTAAGTTATTGTTAGCCAATTTTACGTAGTCAGCCTTCGCTGGTTAGTACCACCTGTGAACACAAGATATTGGAGTACAGGTTAGCACTGAAAAATCCTGAATCTCCGTGGACTAAACAAATAAGATAAATTAAATGACTAGGATGTACCTATTAATCAACGATTAGAGTGGGTTGCAACTCATGTCTAATTAGGATAGAAAGAAATAATTTTTTGATAAAAATAAAGAAATAAAAAAATATTAATATAAATAAATTGATATAAATGATAATAAAGAAATATTAATAAAAATAATTTAAAAAGTAAAGAAAGAAAAAGAAATAAAGCTTGGCTATAGAAATAAATTAAAAATGTTATGACTGGACATAACTCGTGTTCACAGACAGGTGCGTGATTATTTTAATTTAATCTAAGAACGCGGAGGTTAATGCGAAGCGGAGAAGCACTCCGAAAAGTTTAGGACAGGTTAGTAACCTATTCGATGAGCAGAAAACATTTTGTTCTTCCTTCATAGGTTTGATTAGACAAAGTGCTTCTCCGCTCCCTACTCCTCAGATGGTAGTGACCCATCAATCAAAAAAACCCATCCCTCTTGGATGATAGTTAATGGTTAGAATATAAAATGATAATGAAACGAAAGAAATTGATAATATAAAGTGATCTAAAGCTGAAAACCTATTTATACGGACACTAATCCCCAGATATACAATCAAAATATCGCTGTTTTCATAAGAAAAAGGCGGTGACACCTCCTAACACTATAGGGTTAAAGAAACACTAAACTTAACGTATTAGTCGCCGTTTTCTAGTCTACGTAGCAACCCTGAAATCCCTTCTGATGGGAGACTGGGCTGACTGCTCCATTCTGGTCGTCCAGCTCCTCGATGGACGTTTCAGGAACTGACGTTTGATGCATCCTCCAGAATCCTTATATCACAGAGAGTAGACCAATGAGGAAAACTGACGATTTCTCGGTAACTGATAGCTGGAATTCCTAAAACTGCCAACGGCCCACTGATTAACTGTAACTAATCTAGAAATATCTAAAAAAAAAAGCAGTTTTAAAAGACTTATAGTTCCTCGAATCATAAGAGATCGTCTTCGCTGTAAGCATCTCGGGGTTTGTAATCATTCTTCCGGTTATACATTGCCCCGCCCTCTTCCCTCTGACAAGATAGAACAGCACTGTCCGAGAGTCCGTGGAACCTATAAACTTTGATCACAACGATTGGTGTAGTCTGCAAATCAGAAACACCCGAAGTGACTGGAATTGATGATTGTTACGACTGAGATGTGCGATGCTCGTGTTGGTGACTCTTCAGTTTTTCGTACGAGTATGTTGATAAAACTTGGATATATGTGTCGACAAGCTTTGTAGTAAGTGATATGTCGGAGCGACTTCGCGATATGTAACCGACTCGTGTGAAATTGTGGAGAGCACGGCGGAGTCGTTTGATCTAGAAGCCGTTTTGGTAAAAGTAACATTTCGTGAGTGGGATAACATCTTTTACTCTTTGATAACTGGGGCCAATAACTATTTTTTTCTGGGCGTAAAAGTCACAGGTGTCTCGGGTTATTTGTTGAGACTAGACTCTGCTGTGGATAACTATGTCGATCGAGAATTCTTCTGGTGGGTTTTAGAACCTTTAGATTACTTTTTAGGATCGTCAGAGAATTCGGCACTTGCTAATGTTGTCTAGATCTCTTTTGTTTAATTCAATTTCGAACTACGTGTCATCGAAATAAATCTTCCCGTTATAGGGTCTCTCCGATTATAGCGGTTATATTTCAGGTGACTAAAGTTCATGGCTTCTTCCAAAGATTTTTTTGATCTCATATGTGAGATATTGTTTAAGTTTTCATTTGACTCTGAATCGCAAATATTGTGTCTGAGATTAGTTTGTTTTTTAAGTTTGTATGATCCCGGAATTGACGATATGGATTTTATACCTGTGCTCATATTTGTCTGTATCGGATGAAATGTGGAAGAATTCAACAATGTCTCCGAAAAATCCGAGGCCGATACGACATTATTTCTAATTGTGTTGTTTTGGATCATTAATTTAGACGATGTCCAGGAAAGTTTACGTTTTCGTTGTGGCTTCCTATTAGTTTTGATTTTTCGTGGAGCCGAGCGAGCATTGTTAGATGTTGGATTCATCATACATGATGTGTGTGTTGGTATCATCAACTGAGTGTTTGTTTCAGAGTTCTCTATAGCGCTATTATCTGGCTGTTCGTTAAATAGATTCGACAGTACCTGTTCAAGGCTGACATTCGCCTTTTCTAATCTTAATGTCTCTGCTGTGATCTGGTCAATGCGTTCCTGAATCGTTTTTCGAAGCTTTAGATGTTTAGTCCAAGCTAACTTTCTTCTAATCTTCCATTGTTCGAGCTGGCACTGTAACTCTTCCATGGCGTTGATCGTCTTTTGAAACGTTGAATGAGCGGCGATCTTACTTAAACTAGTTCTGGGGAAAGTAGACGCGCTGATTAAATTATTATCCGCGCGATTGTTGAGGAAAGAAGGATTATTACGGAGAGGATGTATAATCTTGGAATCAGTCTTTTGTAAATCGAGCTCTTGTGGTGAGCAACGATTATAAGTTGGTTCTTGCAGTTGACTGATTGTGCAGTCAGTATCACCTGAATAGCTAGTGTAGTTATAGCAATTTTGTTCCCAGTATTCCAGAATGCGATGTAGTTTTTGGATCGCTACCATTGATCGTTGCAACAGGTATTCGTTCTCTCTATCCGTGGGATAAGAAGACTCGAGCCGCGGTTTGATGGTTTTGCTGAGGACTTTGGTTATTTCCAGATCGTTTGTGTCCCAGTAGTTGTCGGATGATTCTGATTGGTCAGTCGAATCTTCTCTTATGTCGCTTGGCTGATGATTCGTGGTAGTCGACTGTAAATTCTGGAAATCTTCCAGAGTAAGCGTTTGGTTTCGATTGAGAGGACTCAATTCTTCCTGTTCTGCTTCCTTTAGTTCACTTTTGATGTCGAACAATATATCTTCAAATGATGAATCCATTTTATTCTCTAAGTGATGGTAATTGGTACTGTGAAAAGCAACAATCTCTTCTTCTGCATTTTCTTATGGTGATGGCTGGTGATTTATCAGTTGCTCATTGACTGAGACTTCTGAATCTTCGGATTCCTCGGTTCTTGGAGTGTTCCTCAATAATATTTCTTTATAAGATCGGAGCTGGCGAGAATTTGAAATCCCTGCGTATCGACCGTCTAGCCAACGCAGTTTATAGATATTGGGATGAGATATAGATTCCACTATGATAGGTCCTTCTTATACCAAGAATTTTTTGATTTTACAATGAATTGCGTCGCTTCTTCGTTGGACTTTGCGCCATACTTGATCTCCGATTTTGTATTTATCGGCTGATTCTTTCTTATTCGGGAACTATATCTTGCACAGATTTTATTTGTTTGTCGTATAGAACAAACTTACTAACGACCATAGATAGACACGGACTGGTCAGATCAGTTAGTAATCGTCAACTAGATTCTGTTCATTCCGATACGAAGCAAGATTTTTTCGAAGAGGCCTTGTGATGACACAACCGCATTCGTGGGATCTCGTCCCTCCTCCTAATCTATGAATCAACGAAAGGTGGTATTCATTAATTAATTAAATAAAATTAATTAATTCGTAAGATACGAATCGGGATAAATGTGTAGTATAACGCTCCCACTTTAAATTTTAAAAATTTTTGATATTTTCAGAATTTGTGTATCTTGATAATGTTTCTGAAAACAAAATTTGTCACGTATCGTTGCCTTTTTTTTAATTTAAAATTTTATGATGTCGGTAAGTAGGAAACTAACAATTTTCATTTTATTAAACTTTGCATCATTGCATCTAACTTCAGTTATATTATTGAATTATTTTATTGTCATCTATATTATAACCTTAAAACCTAATAAAAATGTGATATTCAGTCGAACAAATTAGTAATAATCCTTGGTTTGCAGTTCAAGACGATAATGCAAACTTATGGTTTAAATTCATTAGAAAAATGTTTTGGGATCTCGAAATTTAAAAGACTATAATCAGATAATTTTAGTCAAGTTTGCATATGTAAACGCTATCTGGGAAAAATTTTTTATATATTTTAACTTTTATTCTAAATAAATTTATATATTTTAACTATTAATTTTAAATAAATTTATATATTTTAACTTTTATTCAAAATAAATTTTACACACACACAGGGAACTATATGTTGCACAAATTTTATTCGAATTTTACACATACACACATACTAAAAAACAAAAATTTAAGGGTAGATTTTTTTATTTAAATTATGAAGCGATTCTAGTAATCTGAACTAACAAATTAGTTTAATTATAATATTTATTAAATATTTTTCGAAATTTATGGAAATTGTACGAGAGCGATGTAGACGTATACAGAATATATTTTCAGTTACAGAATATATTTTAAAGAAATGTTAGATCTAAACTTTAATCTCCTCACATAAAAAGATAATTATTTTTAATATCATATTATTCACAATCATCCTCCTCACATAAAAAGATAATTATTTTTAATATCATATTATTCACAATCATGTTCCTGCTTTAAACTATTCTATAACTCTAATATAATTTAAGCTTTATAAAATCTTTATAAGAGAGTTTGTACTTTTGATTAAAGCATAGAATATTTGCACTAAATATTTATTTTATTTTTATGTAATTATTTTTAGGTAATTTTTTTTTATTAAGAAAAGTGAATTTTAGTACGAAATTTAAAGAATTTGTCCATAATTGTTAAAAATATAATTAAGTTGAAACAATAGTATAATTCACTAATTATTTTTAAAAAATTGTGGAATTTGTTTATTTATATCGAATTTCATTTTAAACATAAATTCAATCAAATAATTTATTAAATATCCTTTCTTTGTACTAAATGTAGGAATTTGTACAAATTTCACGTCAAAATCTCTCGATGTTTTGAGTATGTACACTTAAGATTAAAAATATAATCTAATTTATTAATATTATTTTATTAATTTATTAATATTACTATTATTTTATTTTTAAAATTTCGTACCGGTGTCTAGATCAACAAAATTTAATGAATGATTGACTGCAAAATGTTAAAATGTCTTCATTTTTTAAGTCTTCATTTGTATGCTTTCCAATAATTTGATATTATAATTGTTCCAGGCCAGTCTTTAATAATATTTCCTTTGTTCTTTCAAGAACACGCACGATGAATATTCATCCACTATTTCGTTCGTAACCTCAAAAAATCCATTTACCATCTATAATACGTCCTCTATTATATTTTCGTTCTCCTATTTTCGTTTCGTCAAGTTCAACAATTATTCCTTTATTTCCAATTTTTTCGGAATGTGATATAATCCAATATTTACGTTTAATTATAATTAGTATTTAATTTTTTTACAAAGGGTAACAAATATAATTTATTTAATATAGTATTTAATTATAGTAACAATGATAATTATTATATTATTACCTTACGATACAAATTTTGCCAATCAACTATGATATGATAAGCTATATCTGATTGACTTTTTAAAAAGTTATCGGTCTCAATATTAAAAAATATGCACAAATATGCAAATATTTCATATTCAATCATCAATTTTCAATTAATAGTTTACTTTTACCAAACTAAGTATTTTTTCTAAATTGGTTTTGTCTAAATTGGCTTTGTCTAAATTGGTATTTTACTTTTTTCTTTTTGTCATAATCAGTTATATAATATGATTTTGTACACTTGAATACTAAGTTATTGATATCTAAATGAATGATGTTTCCACAATCTTCATATTCTATATGATTGATTATAGCAATTATTGACTTTATGAGAATGCTGGAACTGAAAACTTTACCGACAGAATACTGACATTTTTCTGCAAAGTTTACGTCGTATTTGTTGTACAAAATTACAAACGTTTTACGCAATGAAAGTATATGCAAAAATAAATAAGAGTATTACTCAATATGTGACGAAAATGAAAAACAAAAATTTTTTGGTGTAAAATCACAAGGTGTTAGTTAACGTAATATTGCCTAATCCAAAAGTTCCACAATTTGTACATACTGAAAGTGTGGATGCTCCAAAGAAAAATGTTGAAGAACATTGGTGTATCTTCGCATCTAAATTCAAAAGCTTAAGAATATCTGAAAAGTTTACAGAAAAATTTCTATATGATTAGGTTTTGCCGCTGAATATGGTAAAACAAAGCATCGTGTATTTACGTAAATTCTGTATGCACAAGAAATACGAAAAGGATTACGTGATTGTGTACAGGATAGTGACAATCGTCTTTGCGTTTTCGACATTATTCGAGTTCGTCATCGACTTCAGAGCATCCCTTTAACTAAAAATTCAACTTTGCCTTTCACTAGCTAACACTAAAAATTCGTGTAACTTTATATTTTAGTAACTAAAGTTATAAAAGGTTATAACATATCAGGAATGTCTAGTCATGAATTGTCTTTAATATGTTTGAGTTTGCTGCAATGACATAGTTTAATCATCAAAATTATCACTTTTCTACTAGAGATGTGCGAACTATTCGAATTCAATTCGAACCGAATCGAAACGAATCAAATAAAATTCGATTCGATTCGAATTTGAATCCCCTTTTTAATTCGAAAATTTCGAATCAAAAAGATTAAAATACGAATCGCGCACATTAGCATTAACGAAGTACTATTAAAGACATACAGCCTTACGGGAATTAGCATTACTTGAAAAGCTTGCTATATATTAAGATTTTCTTCAAAAATATTAAAAGAAGATTATGGCTTCTCGATAAACTCTTACCGATAACTGTCAAATTGATATATGCAGTTGCACGGTTTTCAAGGTTGAAATTCTATATACGTTTACCGACTATATATCTCTTACTTTAAAATTAATTGGTATCACATGATCAATATTATCTCTCTCATACTGAAGTCACTATTTTCATATTGAATTCAGTAATTATGTTAATTAAAAATTCTTTCAACGATTCGATTTCATTCGATTTAATTCGTGTGAAATTTCATCGATACGATTCGATTCGATATAAAACATTGATTCGCACATCTCTATTTTCTACTTACTAACATCATAAAATTTTAAATTAAAAAAAGTAGGAAAAGAAAACGGTATATGTGAACGACAAATTTTGTCAGAAATATATTCTATGCATCAAAATACACAAATTCTGAAAATTTAAAAAAATTTGAGGTGAGAGCCTTATCGACCTATAGTATGGACTGCGTTACAGTAATAGAAACTTCGCTCCGCGAGCAACACGCATCAGCACAGGAGGGGATACGCACACACTCACGCGACCGTATCCATGAGTCTCACGGAGTGAGTCGCGTGAGTGTGTGCGTATCTCCTCCCGTGTTGATGCGTACTACTCGCGGAGCAAAGTTTCTATTACTGCTGCGTTATCCCTTACTTTGTCCATATATGAAACAAGTTCCAGAGAGTGAGTGAGATAGCAAATGGCCGCGGCCTATCTCTGTCTCTTTCTATGAATATGATTTGTCATGACTTTGAGAAAGACATTGGCTGCGGACTTGTGTTGTCCTTCTTCCGCACCGAGATATACTTTCAACCAGCGTTTAGCAATCCATTCTATAGGCCGATGGTTATACTGCATTTATTTATATGTATCGGTAATACCCGAACACGTGATCGGCGCGTGAACACCGCGTGTTATACGAAAACGTGAGTCTAAATACTTGAAGTACACCGCGCGCGCATATCACAACGTGAAGTTAAACGCGAAACGTGTTATTAAACACTCGTGGATATTACGGGATGTTAGAAACTTGCTAAAAGCGACTTACGCTTCGTCAACCTCATCGTCGCTGTAATGTCGGGTGACAAGCAACTGCCTACGTCCCTTGTTCGAGATGACCGTCCGCAAAGTTCTTTCCCTGTTCGTCCGAACCGCTGTCGATTGGTGTTCGATCAGTCCCGTGTCTCCGTGTACACGGCCAGATCGCCGAAGACGCAATCAAAACATCTCGTATGGGTGAACTTCTGTGGTCAACTCCGGAAACTTGCGAAAACGCGTCGGACCTGCGAAGCGATCCCGAGCCGTTGTTCTGCACGAGCTTCTTCTCGACGTTCATTGGCTGACCTGTGCGAAGTTAGCCCCGCGCTCTTCAAACTCTGTATTTATAGCGCGCTAAAGCAACAGGCCGTTTCGAGCGTTACCAACTAAAATCGGTAAGTGTGCGTGCGATATGAAGAAGTGCAATGAACGGCGGATAAGGAGAAAGGCGATAAGGCTAGGGAAAAACACAAGACAATAGAGAAAAAAGAAGAAGGAGATGGATAGACTGCAAGTCACGGAAAAAAAGAGTAAAAAATATTGAGTGATAGAACGGTTTAGTTTACCTGTGCCACGAATCTTGCATGCTACATATTTTTGTTTATTATGCTACGTTTATGCTGTATTGTACCGCAATCCTAACTCAGTAACACACACACACACGCACGCGCGCGCGCGCGCTTAAACCGTCTTTAAGATAATTAGCAAAAAATTAAATTTTTGGTAGCACTTTACGAATTTTGAATTAATTATACTATTTTGTTTTTTATATTATTTTCTATTATTTAATTGTACTATTTTTCTATTATTTTAATTGCGCTATATTCTCCTACATTGTGCCAACTTATGCCGTAAACGCGTAGTCGATGACTACGATAACATATTAATGAAATTAAATATAAATTAAATATAAATAAAATTAGTTAGCCCCGCATTTTTGCCGAAATGAACCGAACTTTTTTTGGTATACTGGTATTAACGTGTGCTACGTTATGTGTGCCGCTCACAAAAACTCGATATTTACTCCCGTTTAATAAATAAAAAAAATATTGAGAGATAACTATAAATATAATATAACAAATAACTATTTTTACAACACATTTATCGGACTTCTGCGAATTGTGCTCCTCGAGTACAAGATACTATTCAAAGTTGTTTCGAAAAATACATGGCTTAATAAATAATTGAGTAGAAGTAGTGGGGATAAATAAAAAATTAAATATTTTCACATTTCGGAAAAAAGAAGTTATGTTGAATTATGCTAGTTGAATGCAACAGTTTTTCCTAATGGCAAAATGTCATCACAAACAAAAGATGTCTAAAGAAGATAACATAATAAAAATAGAGTAAATGAAACAAAAACTTCTGTTTGTTTTTATGTTATGTTAGTGTATCGGATAGCACAAGAAGCACGAAAAGATAACATTAGCATTTTCGAGACTTGTAAATTGAGTGAAAAAATATTTAAGAAATAAAAAATATTTATCTAGTGATTACTAATATAATATGCTTATACTAATATACACATAAAACATTTTTCAAATAAGAAAATATAGATTTTTTTATAACTTTTATCAATCACTTTTATCAATTTATGAAAGCGACTATTTATTTTATTAAAATAAAATAATTTCGATTTAAGAGGTTACATACGGGACTCTGACAGGAGTAAAAATTAAGTAAAATTTGAGGAATTGTAAAAAGTTATAAATTATAAAAGTATACATTTTTTATTATATATGTCTATTAGGTATATTTAGCGATATCTTGGTGTAAAAAATTGAGAAGAGTTTCATTATAAAATTTTATATGCGTTATTCTCAAAACAATTTTTCAATAATAATCACGATAACTTGAGAACGGTTTATTCAATTAACGTATTATTTAACATAAATCAAAGTTTTTATACCAAGATATTATTGCTCTTAATAGACGTATATAATTAGGGACTCATAACTTTTTTAATTTATAGCTTTTTACCATTCCGTAAATTTTACCTAATTCTCATTCTTATCAAGATCTTGTAACCTCTTCACCAATTATATAATTAATTAAATATAGCACCCCCACCAAATAAATATTTTTTATTTTTAGATATTTTCAGTGTAGTGTAGATTTTAAATCTCGATTTGGGGATACCGAGAATCTCACAATTTTTTCACTCGTATTAATATACTACGTTAGTGAAGTGCTTTTGTTCTCTTAAACTAAAACAACTCATCACCATCAATTTCGGAGCTATCGTAATTGCACATTATCTCTTCTTTCGTTATCACCGTTTTGCAGTAATCAGCACGTGATGTATTATCGTGCCAAATGTCACTAGTTCGCTACATCGCGTTACCGCGCGCGTTTAACACAACTTCCTGCATTAAGCTCCGATCTCTCATTTGTCGCTACGATTTCGAATCACGCGACTTCGAGCCGTCGTCGTAGCACCGCGATATAAATCAACGAGCGATCTTAGAAAGCCCGAGTTGGGGGCGAAACGATAGGAAATCAGGGGAGCGCGCGTTTCACCTTAATATTACTAACGGTCTGATGACGAAGCGCTCTCTTTGTTTTAGCTTACTACTAATACGAGAAACTTCGTTATCACGAGAAGATTTACGTGACATGTAGTAAAACATTTTATTAATATTTGCCACGGAATATAATGTCCTGCTTTTTTCTCCTCAGAATTTCTTCCTCCTTTCACTCCAGGAAAATATGTAGCCGCCTTAGTTAAAAGAAAATTTGATACTGGCACTACCCCCACGTACAAACGAGTCGAGTTTCGACACGACGTTTATAAGCCGTATCTACCTGCGAGCTAAAATTATAGCGTTGTCGACCTGGAAACGAAAGTATGTACAAATAAACGCGAACATGTAAAGGATAATGAAAATGATGTATATTATACATCTTTCTCTTGAATTGATAAATTTATTATTGCGCATTACACGTAAATAGTACGACGTGTGTCGCGCGTTAATATTAATGAAACACAGTTTTGCTTCAAAAGCCCATGAATAAAGAGAATATTTGATGCAAGAGAAAGATGTATGACATATATCATTTTTATTTTGTATCAGAGAAACAAAAGATAGTGCGCAGCAGATACAAGTTCTTTCGCATCTTCCTTCTAGTGTAGTCTATAAAAAATATGTAATATGCAGACATATCTGCAGGTAATATCTCGATATTATTAGAATTGAGCGCAGGCTTGCGACTTTAATGTTTTTGCGAAGTGTTGCACGTTGCAGGCGCAATTACAAGCCTTTTACTTTGCTCCCCGCCATTATATGTTGCCATACATCACCCTTGTTTGATACACGCAACGAGGCCGCGATCTTCGCCACGCGCTCTATTAATAATCGTTATTAGCATGTTGAGGCGAGTGATATCCGTAATTATATACCCCTTCCTCGCGCCCCGTTAAGTTCACTCGTGACACGACATGGTGCCTCGCGCGAAAGTCAGCGGGTCGACGCGTACGTCTCCGACGTCCTATCGATTCGCCACTCTCTCAACGACCTACGAATATGTCGCGAATGTCACGCACGTCACGCCGCGCGAACCTAAACAGGGACGGGCCGAGTTGAAACTGTTGAATCGCGACACGAGATCTACCGCTTCAACGTATTCCGTGATAGAGCACGCAGAAACCTGTGCGAAACCTTTTCTTCGACAACTTTACTTTTACTTTAACAAGCGCTTATCTCGATTTACATGCCTGATTTTTCGAGTCAGATTACATTGGCACATAAGACATCACATGAGCTACGTCACTTGATTCATCAATTTGTCTCCTTGTTAGTATTATTTGGAGGATTGTCTGTAGGACAAATAAGGCGTTAGAACGTGAAAAATGCTGAATAATTTCATGAAGAATACGCGCGAAACTTTATGTCAACTGATAACAAGTTTGATAAGAACACATCAATCACTGAATGCTTACTGAGCGCGTTCGATGCCATTTTTTTAGAAGCTACTTTCAACATGAGCACACTGAAAAAATTATTTCAATATTTGGAACTAAAATATTTGGTATATATGATAAATATTTGGATTTAGCAATATCGTATTTTTTATTTGTTAAATAGAATATATTGGTGAGAAAACAAAACGCACAAGCAGCAGTAAATTTTTTTGTTACAATTACAAAACATACAGTTGATCTCGTGTTAACCAAATGTTGGTCTGCTGTACGAAATATTCGTTTCGACAATAAAATCCTTTCTCCTTTTTCCACACAAGGCAAGCCAATTCTATGTACCTGCTATAATTACAAACGTATGTTGTTTAATTTTTAGCCTTACTATCCGATAAGTCATACAGCAGAGATCTCATATTTCTAGTAATTATTCAGTTTAAGGGAGCCAGCTCCAATAACTTTGACATATGTTGTTAAGATCATCTTAGATTTACATAGAATAATCTTTAAAAAGGTTTAGCCGTCGTTGAAAAGTTATGAATAAAAGAAGTTTCATAAATACGATGTAGTATTCCGACATTGTATACAATAAAAGTAGGTAGTGTGTAGACAGTTTATAAAGAATCGATTTATGTACAGGGTGCGGCGCCAAAATCCGGACAAAATTCAATTTGAAATTCTCGCCGTTCTATACCACTGGTAGATGTCGCGATTAGCGTTCAAATAGCTTGACGCATGTACTAAACCATCATAACCTCGAAACAGTCGCAATGTTGAAACCAAGTGCGGAGTATAACCGAAGAGCCGCGATTATCGAAAGTGTTCGCGCTGGGCGCTCGGCGACAGAAATCATTCGGTTCTTCGGGTACCCGAGATCGACTGTGTATGATATCATCGCAAAGTACAATGAGTCGGAGAAGTCCAACGAAGGTTTTGCAACATCATCCAGTGAGGGTGATGTCATACCATCGCATTTCTTTAACAAAGAGGAAAATGTCACAAAAGAAGTTTATTTGCGTGTTCTGACAAATGTAGTGAAGCCGTGGATGGAAACTGTGTCGTCTGGAAAGCCGTATGCTTTCCAGCAGGACGGTGCGCCCGCCCACACAAGTCATTTGGTGCAAAATTGGTTGTCGGACAACGTCGACATGTTTTGGTCGAAAGAATTCTGGCCTCCCAACAGCCCAGATTTGAATCCTTTGGACTTCTATGTATGGAGCGTAGTTGAAAGGGTCACGAACAAGTCCAGACATCCAAACGTCGCACCATCGAGAGCCGATATTGAAGCGGCATTCACCGATATGGACCGTGACACATTAAAGCGCGTCTGCGCACACTTCAGACCGAG